CCATGAAGTGCTTGTCCTTTGCTCACAATCCTGTTGTTGTGGCAGTGTTAAGCTCTGTGTTGTCTGTGATGCCTCAAAAGCCTAAATTATTCCCAGCCAGTTATAAGGATCACAGCAGCAACATCTCTTTGGGGCAGCATTCCTGAAAACCTAGGGAAAAGAGCTTGTACCTGGACATGCAATTCCAGTTTGTGCCCTGGGGAGCTGGGAAGGGATTTGTCCCTGTGTCCTACACTGTCATTTAGTAAACCACAATTTATACAGCAGTACAGCCCCAGGTCTTAGTAGTTGTCCCATGGACAGGATTTGAGGTGCCATCCAAGGAGTTACCTGCTGGTGCAGAACCACTGCTTGGCCTTTGGGCAGTTGTAGTTTGGATTGCTATTTGCCAAGACTCTATTTTCCCTCAAGGGTTATCCAGAATGAAAGGCTTTACAGCCTTCAGATCTCCCATTTGTCATGGATTTTTGCATTGTGGAATTCTGGAGGAAAAGAGTTTAGCCCAGTCTTGGTGGTGTTCTTCACACAACTTGCCAGTGATGGTTTGCTTGTACACTGAGGCTCCTCAGCCTCCTGCTGTCATGTCTCAGTTCATGACAGGAGTTTGATGAGAAGTGTAGTCTATCAGGAACTTAATTATATCCTGCCTGCTTTGACTCAGCCTCTCTGAAGACCAGATGGTTGAGTCTGTCGTTGGTGCCACTCTGATGGTGAAACAGTCACTTCTAGGAATAGCACATTTGGCTTTCTTGCTGCATCTGAGGCTTTGTTAGGAAATTTCCCTTCCTACAGTTGGTCCGTTCTGGTTTTGGCTCTTCTCCCTCCCTGGCAGCTCCGTGGCTGAGTTGACACCGGTGATAGTTGCTCTGGGATCCCCTCACAGAGCAGCAGCAGCAATCTTAACTTGCTCTTGGCATTTTAGCTCTCTGCTGCACCTTTCAAATCACCTTCTTTCTAAAAAAGGTGTGGAAGACTTTGAGGAGCCTCATGCAGCCTGAGCAGCTGGTGCTGTGATATGGAGTTGGGACAAGGAGTGATCTGAGGCTCCTTAGTCTCTGAGGGAGAAACAGGAGTGGAAACTCATTTCTGTAGTTCATCTGGTTTCAGATCTTTGTAGCTTCAGCAGCAGAGTCAATTTGGGCCCTTGGAATTGTGTTCCATGAGCTGCCTTCTAAGACAAGTCTTCCAAAGGAGCAGGATTGGAAATGAGGGAGAATAGGTGAGGGTGCACTCACCTGCTCCAGTTTGTCCCTTGGGAGGACTTACACACCTCAACCATGGTATGTTTTATGTTGCACTGGTAACAGAGACTAAGTAAGTAATAATAATAATAATAATCACTAATAATCTAAATCTTGGTTTTGGGACATTAATTGAAGATGTTCCATGTAGAATGTTCTTAAACAATGTACAGTATAGAATGTTCTGAAGCAGCAGAAATCATATCGTGCACCTTTTCTCAACGACAGCGATGTGAGTCCTGGTCCTGTGTTTCAGTTCTTTGGAATGTTCTCATACCTGGATGCTTTTTTTTCCCTCAGGTCAGTGGAATCAAGAGTCTCTACGAGTCTGAACTGGCTGATGCCCGAAGAGTTTTGGATGAGACTGCCAAGGAGAGAGCTAGGCTACAGATTGAAATAGGAAAGCTGAGAGCAGAGCTCGAGGAGTTCAATAAAAGGTGAGGAGAGTGCTCTGTGGCTGTTATTTTCTGAGCAGTGTTTGCTGTGGGAACGACATTGCTGAGGCTGCTTACAGTGCCTTGTGGAAGCAGCTGATGGGAGGATGCAGGTGGGTCAGAGGGAAGCTCAAGTGTGTTGGGCTGGCTGCTCAGAGGTCATGGCATCAGGATATACCCCAGTGTAGTGCAGCTATAAAATGACTGTACTGAGATTGGAGCAGTTTGGACATGCAGAGGCCAAGAGGAGTGTTTGTTTCTGCTTTGTCCTGTCCTTCCTCCTCTGCACCTGCTTGGGAAACTGAGCTGGGTTAAAACTGACCCAGCCAAAGAAGGTTCATTGTTAAACATCATCAGTCTGATTGCCTGTTTCTCTGCTCTGACCCATGGCAGACAGGGAAGCACAGGGAAAGGTTGGCCCAGAGCAGTTTGGGAGTGTGGAAGCAGATGAAGCTGCAGTGTAAGTGTGCTGGAAAAACACCTTGCACTGATTGTATATTAAAACTGCTATTCAGTCTGAATCAGAGAATTACCCTGACAAAGCAACTCCTGAGGCCAGATGGAGTCCTCCAGTTCAATTCCCAGGGGAGATTTTATAAGCTGAGTGAAGGCAGCTTGGTGTGTTTTCAGTGTCCTTGGAGGGGCAGAAATCACTTGTCACTGTCAGGAGTTTCTTTGTCAAGCTGTATGTAGAACACTCCTAGTGTCTGTGACCAAGACATGCTCAGCATGGCTGTGCACCCGCCTAGATGGATAATGACAAATCTGATGTTGGTTTTGCAGCTACAAGAAGAAAGATGCAGACTTGTCTGTGGCTCAGGGACGCATCAAGGACCTGGAAGTTCTGTTCCACAGGAGTGAGGCAGAACTCAACACTGTGCTCAATGAGAAACGCAGTCTGGAGGCAGAGGTGGCTGATCTGCGTGCCCAGCTGGCCAAGGTATGTCCTTGCTTCAGCACAGGCTGAGGGTGTCAGATTCCCTCTTTGCAGTTGGTCTTTAGCCTGGATCAGAACCAGCGTGGTCAGCAGGACCAGGGAGGTGATTCTGCCCCTGGACTCGGTGCGGGTGAGGCCACACCTTGAATCCTGTGCTCAGCTCTGGGCCCCTCAGCTCAGAGGGACATTGAGGGGCTGGAGCAGGTCCAGAGAAGAGCAACGAGGCTGGGGAAGGGACTGAGCACAAGTGCCATGAGGAGAGGCTGAGGGAGCTGGGGGTGTTCAGCCTGGAGAAGCAGGGGAGACCTTATCACCCTCTACAACTACCTGAAAGGAGGTTGTAGTCAGGTGGGGGTTGGTCTCTTCTCTCAGGCATCTAGCAGTAGTACAAGAAGGCACAGACTCAAGCTCAGCCAGGGGAGGTTTAGGCTGGATATTAGGAAGAGATTTTTTACAGGGAGAGTGGTCAGGCATTGAAATGGGATGCCCGGGGAGGTGGTGGATTCACCATCCCTGGAGGTTTTCAAGCTGAGACTGGATGTGGCACTTAGTGCCATGGTCTGGTGACCACAGTAGGGTTGGACTCGATGATCTTTGAGGTCTCTTCCAACCTGGTTGATTCTATGATTGATCTTCCTCAGTTCCTACTGAGCCTTTGACTGCCCCTCTGGGATACACAACTAAACCTCTGTAAGACAACCAAAGCCACTCAGTGGTTTGGACATTTTGCTCATTAGAAGTTTTTATTTGGGATTTTCTGATAAGGGTTTGTGTATTCATGGGATATCAGGTTGCTAAATGTTGAGCTTTGTGAGGTCCTGCATAATTTCAGCCTTGTAGTACCCAGTTGGGCTACACTGGCAAGAAAAAGAATGTGCAACACATTGTGCTTGAGGAATTAATAATCCTCAGCTCCATACCATAACGGATTGAAGTTTTCCTGCATTTTAAACAGCTGCTTTGCAAAGGTGGAAGCTTGGGCTAAGTATCCTTGAGCACACACTCTCTGGCTCTTCCTTTTTTGTGAGTTTTTGGGCGGGTTAGACATCCATAAATGCATACACGCTCTAGTTCTTCCTTTTTTTCTGAGTTTTTTGGGATTGGGGATTTGGGTTTTTGTTGTTGCTTGTGTTTTTTTTCAATCAGTAGTTTGACATAAGATCTCTTGTTGTGGATAGTTGGTCCAGAAGTGTCAGGTGAAGGCCATAAAGGGTTTATGGATGGAAAATAGGGATCTGAACAAAATCCTTCACATTCCTCCCTAGGCTGAGGATGGCCATGCTGTGGCTAAGAAGCAGCTGGAGAAGGAAACACTCATGCGTGTGGACCTGGAGAATCGGTGCCAGAGCTTGCAAGAGGATCTGGACTTCAGGAAGAATGTGTTTGAGGAGGTACTACTATTAAGGAAACTTCCCTGCCTGACCATCCAGGAGCCACTCTGGCAGGCACATTGGCAGCACCTGAGCTGGGAGTTGGTCCAGTATTAGTTGCCCCAGTGCAGCTGCACCCCCACACTCACACCAGGTTTCCTCACCAGCTCAGCCCCAGATTTCCCACAGCAGAGTCTCAGACATCCAGAGCCTTCAAATAGTTTCATCTTGGTGCAGAAACTAGCAGTGACAGAATAACAGAGTAACAGCTCGAGCTGGTCCCTCCCAGGACCTGAGCAAAGGAACAGAGGGCTTCGATCCCCTCAGGGCCCTGAGGGTGGATCATCAGCTCCTGCTGTGTCTCTGGGTGTCTGGTGATCACCTTGCTGGGCCACAGGTCCCCAGACCCTTTGTTATCCTCTCTTGCCTGGGCTGCAGCCACCCAGAGCTCAGTCTGCAGCTCCACTGCGGCTGCCCCTGCGTGGAATGGGTTCCTCAGCATTCTCAGCCCAGTCATCCTCTCACAGTCCAAACTTCATGTAGCTTTTAACCAAACTGGCTACAAGCAGCTACTAACTAGTCCAGGCCTCTGCAAGGC